TGCTGCTGCTGCTGCTGCAGGCTGGCAGAGGCATTGGGTGGAGGGGTAGCTCGCAGGGCGGGCTGGGCTGCAGGGCCACAGGGCAGCTGGGGGCCGAGGGATCCAAGCGCATTCAGCGGGAGGTTAGAGTTCTGCGGCTGCTGGAACAAAGAGGGATGCAGAGTTAGCATACCAATACATTCATATAGCAGTCCACACAGAAAGCCACATTCAACACAGAAAAATGCAAGGAACACTGAAAATGCTAGGAGCGCACAAAACGTCAGTGCTTCTCTCAACACAGCACAAGTCTCCTCACCTGTGTGACAGCAGCCTGTGTTATAGGCTGTCCCAAGCCTATATTCACATTCATTGCTCCACCTGCACCTGGAGTGAACTGGCCCTGGGGCAGGAACTGGCCCTGGTTGGCTGGCTGAGCTACCATGTTATTGGCATGACTACCCATCATTCCTTGAGTCTGAGGCATCCTTGATGGAGACATGCCCATCTGTAAAATAGACAAGAGAGGACACAGACAAAATCATTATGGAAGCAAGCCTCTAGTATTCAAAGATTGCCTCGTTAAATAAACTAAATGAATAGAATGCAGCATAGATGCATCTTTCCACTATAATAGTCTTCTAAACTTACAGTGCGCTGAATAAAAACATGGCATGGCACCAGATCTAAAGAGAAACACTACGTAGCTTTAAGCCAGACCTTAGGCGCCATGGTTTCATTACAGATTACTCATGTCAACCACAGGCAGCACATCCCATATTGATGCTTTAGTGTCAAAATGCTAACAGACTAAGAAAAGAACAATCAGTCAAAGACTGGGAGGCGTTTCACAGGAAAGAGGAGCGAAAAAGTGGAGGAAAAAGTCAAAGAGTGACAAAGAAAAGTGGAGCAAGAAATGAACAGACTGGGGCCCAAACAAACATGGTGACAAAAACTGAATTGTTCCAAGAAGAGCAAGTTTAAGAAAGAAAGAAAGAAACTGACAGGCTCAAACAGACGACTGTTCAAAAGAGCGAAAAATAATAGAGAGAGACAAAAGACAAAGATCTAACCGCTGGGACGGAGCTCATGTTCATCTGCTGTGGATGGTTCATGGGGGAGGGAGCACGTGCTCCCATGGGTGCCTGAGACATCTGCGCATTCTGCATTGCCATTGGGTTAAACTGATTGATTCCTGTGGGAACAGATACACACAATTATTTACCTGCTTATTACACTTGGGAGTTGTAATTTAATATTCCATGCCCTACTGGGCTGGCAGAAACACAGAACTAGCTCACTTAAACATCACAGCTCTGACAAACACATTAAAGTTAAACTGGTTAAACAATCAGGTGTGCTCAGGAAACTAAAACTCACTTCACTGCTTAGTAAGTTTCTGTATTTAAACATGAATCCATTAGCTATTTCAAAACTAGGAAGGTTAGTCAAAAAAGGACATATGGAGTGAAACTGTTAAGAAAGCAAAGAGTGAATACATACCTTGGGGCACCTGCATACGGTTCATTATCTGATTTGGCATGTTAGGCATAGGCACAGGTCCATCTGAGAGAAGACAGGATATAGCAGTGTTCATTTCTAAGTTGAGTCAATATTCAAAAACCCTATTCATTCCCCTATTTTGTCACCCAGAGAGTAGAGAGTTTGGATACTAACTGGGAGGTCGGACGGCCTGTCCTGGGCCCATGGGGTTGGGCTGAGCCATACCAGGTTGCTGAGGCCCAGCTGTGCCCACCATTCCAGGCTGTTTCTGAAGCCGTGAGCGCCTCTTCTCCTCCAGTTCCTTCTGGATTTTGTAGATTTTCTCTGCCAGGAAGTGGTAATACTCATCCTAGTGAGAGGATGAAGGGAAAAAAGACATTTAAAAAGACATTTTACAATAAATAATAAATGTAATAAATAAATTCCAGGTCTCTGGTTAAATTTCTCTGCTCTCATAGAGGCAAGGCTGTAGGATTAAAAGCACGAAGAAGACTATCATTCCTCAAGGGTGTAAGTGTGTATTATATTAGTTACCCTGCTGTTAGCTGACTCGTACATGTCGCCCTCAACCTTGCGCGCATATGCCACCAGGTTCTCCATTCTCCGGTCCTTCAGTGCTGCGGGGTCTGGGGTGGGGAATATGGCTTGTACACTGAAGTGAGACAGCAGAAAAATACAAAACTGAGCAACAGCCTGGTGCACCAAGTTCTATTCTGTTTTCATATGATAGAACAAACATTTATAATACATCTGTTTCATTGCTGGACTTACAGTTTGTGCACCAGGTGGGTGCGCAGGTCCTGAGTGACGTGTTCATGCCAGGCCTTTCTTACCCCCGTAGCAGAGAGAGGGGTGGCAGTGGGCAGGTTTCCCATGCCTCCTGCTACTGAACCATCTGGCATCAGCTGACTGTAAAACACAGAGAGAGAGAAACTATTACTTAAGTTCTGTTTCACACAAGGTTTCGTAAAGGACACAATGCGAACATAATAAAGCCCAAGGAACAGAGAACAGATTGAGATTCAATCAGTCAAAAGAAGATGAGATGGGTGGCGATTAGGTTGACAAAAAAACCACAGGACTCTTTATCCTAACTATGAATTAGTCCATGAATTAAATGGCAGCTACAAGACATAAGATTGTGACATCAATCACAAGATGACAGTGATTGTAGAAGCATACATTTCTTTTAAAACAGTGGGAGCCTTTGCAGCAAAGGCCACGTATTTGTGTGACGTATTAAGGATGAGAATGCTCACTTGTTGAGTGTGGATGGTAGAGAGGAGTCGGAGTGCATGCCAGTCTGGTCTGAAGAGGGGACACCCATCCCTCCTGCCATCTGGCTCATCTGATTAGTGCCTGATAAACACACATCGTCATTTACAAGAGTGAACAAGAAAAAGGCTTAGCAACAGATTTAGAGAATTGTTACCACTTCTACATGATCCGCTCAAAATTGCAGTAGAGTCTCATCTTTTCCGTACCTAGTGGGTTCATATTTCGCAGCTGCTGGTGCTGGGGGCCCTGGGAGGTTTGCTGAGCGGAGCCCTGCCCCTGGACCTGTGTAGGGGGCTGGTTCCCATATGGCAGGCCAAGGGCAGCATAGGCCCTCTGCATGGAGCTCGGGTCGATGTGGGTGGCAGCGCTGTTGATGGCTGTGGCACTAGGCTGGCCAGGCCCCACCGTACTGATGGCATTCTGCAGGCCAGCCCCAGGGGAACCTAGCATGGCTGGAGCGAGAAGAGGAGGAAATAAATAAATGGTTTGGCAATATTACATTAAGTATTTAATTAATACCCTGTAATAACTGAGAAGTAGCTGTTGCTTCTATGCTTTCTATTTGCTAAACATCAAAACATATATAAATTTAAGTCATGAAACACAAATAATTAACATTAGTAAATTAGTAATAAAAATATTTTTTTAAATGAATCAATAAATGTCAAAAATGTTTTTTTCTCTGTAGAAAAAATTCTCAATCTTTGTGCAAAAGAACATGTTCTTGAGCAGACCTATCTAAAATCCCTGCGCTGCTCCCTGCTGTGTTGATTGCTGACAGGGAGCACGCTGCCTCTGTGGGGGATTTAAATCTGTCAGAGGGCATTTTAACCAATCAGAGAGCTTGCTGTCCCAAGACCCTGCCCCCAGTATTAGCAGAGCCACAGAGCCCCTCCCCTGGGTGTCACATTACAGACCCAGCCTTTCTAGAGGAATCCTCTTGCTGTTGAAGCCCTTGCAGCCAGCGAGCCAGCACAGAGCTGTGACAGAGAAACGACCTGCAGGTGGCACCACTTCATATCACACACACACACACACACTGACTGGAGGCTCGCCACTGAGCGACAACAGCCTTACTTAACAGCTTAAAATGTATCAACGGTTTCCTTTTTTTTTTTTTTAAATGACCACAACCAGCATCCACGAGGAGTTCTTTGTTCTCTATTAACTTCTAACTTAACCCATATGTGTTTTATATGCATTTGTAGATGCATAAGAGAGAAGGGGAGCTGCTGAAGTTACTCACGTTGCTGGTTCCTCTTGTCACTAGCATTCTTCAAAGGCAGGCAGACCGGACAGTCGTGCCGTGTACAGTTCTTCCAGTGGGAGATGATCTGTCTGGATGATGCACAGTGAGCCACTGGGGAGAAATAAAAGGGAAACAAAGATATAGATTGAGGAATGGTGATAAGTAATTCAGTAGTATTGGGCTATGAAAACACACTGAATTCAGACACTGCTACATTAAAGTAAAACAAGTGCTGACTGAGGGAAGAAAGATACTGTATAAAATGGCTAGATAAAGTTAATCTACAGCACTGTCAAAAAAATAAAGCCTCAACTGCTACAGTACAATGTGCAAATAGCTATATAAAAGCAATTGTACATGTTGTAAAACCATAAATGCATCCTTGCATTTACTTAAAGCATATAAAAAGTATAAATATCAGAGTTCAAAGTTCATAAACCTAGGGTGACCTCCTTGCTACTCACAACTGTCAGAGGGAAGTTGTTTGCTGCCAGGGTAGACAAGGAAATGGGAGTACAATTATTATGACACCCGTTTTAAAAAAAGATTAAATTAATGTTTCCTGATGTTGTCAGTCACCAGGGCGCTTGGGGCTTAGCGGGTCAGGGGGGTAGAGTGGCTCTATTTAAGCAATAAAACACAAGAGCTGACAAGAGATGACTGCTTCCAATCTGTCTGTTGGTCAACAACAATGCAATTTGATTGTTTAGGGTTATATAGGGATGCAAATTTCATGAAACTTCCTTAACTGGTCATCAGCCACATATAGATCAAAAAGCAATTCCACTAAGGACAAAATTGGCGAGTGGTTGTATGAAGAGCTGAAGGCGAGTCAAGGAGCACTCTAAAAACACATCACTTTCACTCACCCTGGCAGGACTTGCCAGCCTGGCAGTGGGTCATGTGGTTGAGGACGTTCTTCATGGTGCGGCAGTGGGGCAGAGTGCAGGCCCTCACCTCCCCGTTGGCCTGCTCCCGCCGCTGGCACTTATGTGCGTGGAGCAACAGGACCAGCTGCTGCTGAATGAGTTTGCGCTTCTCAGGGTCGGCCGTCGGTCCTGCTGACACTCCACCAGCCCCAGGGACCATGCCCACCGAGGCTACCTGCTGCTGCATCTGGGACTACAAGAGAGTGCCAATACACAGGGAGGTTAGGAAAAGATCCAAATATCAGACTTTCCATGTTTTTAGACTTTCAGGTTGTAAGTAGAAACAGGGGCTTAGAGATGTGGAATACGGTACAAGAGAAGAAAGAGGTGATAAGATGGGGGGAGTTAAAACTCAAGAATTAAAACAAAATGTGAAGGAAAGCTCTGAGAATGGGAGGGAACAAGTAAACTAGGGAAATCTAATAAATAAAAAAAATCGAACTACTCAAAAATCGAGGGACTGACATTTCCTCCCTCGATTACGTCCATTTCCTGTTCCTCAAACAGATTTGCATAGCACTGCGCTCTTTTACTTGGATGGAAAGAATATCACCCTGTACTCAACAGTTGGTTTTGAAAAGCAAGGAAGCAATGTACATATATGGTCGCAGAAATATGTTTTCAGACAAGCTGTATTGCACAATAATGCAATCCATATTAATGAACCAACCAGTCCTATAAGAAACAAATAAACATGTTTTGCTTAATCTGGTCATTATTAATTGGTATGAATGTATACACAGGCACTTATATTGCTACAGCAACCGTACAGGGTTTTTGTTGTTCTTATAAATAAGCCCATTTGTAGTATTAATATGGCAACAGTAATAGATGACCAAACATTGTTTAACTCTTTGAAAGTCAGGTGCATGAAGAAATTACTGTACTATTACTGGTCATTTTAGTTATGTGGCAATTTATTTTAATCTCTCTCAGGATGAAAATTACCACGTTAAGATCTAGGCTTACACTCCGTCAACACCACCAACATGCGCCTCAGTCACGCTTTTCCCCCTCTTATACAGATCTGACGAAACAGGTACACTTAAGTATTGAGTACTTGGGAGCACATGGCAGTACTGCAGATGAATAGATCCAGTATAAACACTGAACAGATCTGCAGCTGTGGCTACTGCTTTCATTACGTGGCTGGTGTAGACAAAGTTTCATCAAAACCATAGTAACCAATACATATGTAAGGATGACATATTTAAATTATTATTTTATTATTATTAAATTATAAATTATGATTGTATTTAGCAACTATTTATACCACAAGCAGGTGGCAATCTATTTACACTGTATGTTGCTTGGTTGCAGATGCAGAGATGCAGATGCGTATTGTGTATTGTATAGCAACAGAAAAATGACAGTACCAATGCCGCTGTGCACATTTATGGTTTGGTTCCTATCTAATGTGGATACAGATTAATATTTAATGTGTTTTACTCTACCTAACAAAATAAAAAGGGGCTGGGACAGACACATATCCACCATTTTTTGGCATTTCACTTTATTGACAGGACTGTAGGGAGAGACAGGAAAGGCAGGGGAGAGAAGGTATGACACGCAGCAAATGGCCTCGAGCCAGATTCGAACCCTGGCCACTGCAGTAATGACTCAGTCATGACACGTGGTACACACTCTACCCAGTGAGCTATCGTCTTTTTCTTTAAGAAAAGAAAAGATGGCACTCACCATGTTTGGCACACTCCCAGCTCCCTTCAGCTCAGCAGGGAATTGGGGCAGGTTGTTGGAAAGGCCTGTCTTGTTCTGGAGTTGTTGGGTGTTGACCCCCGCTGCCCCCATCTGCTGCACCCCAGCCTGACCATACTGCTGGCCAAATGCTCCCGACATCCCCATCTACAGTGGACAATCAGGACAGAGGGTGATCAGAAAATGTGCATATCATGCAGCATACCATCACAGTAGATCAGCTTTTTTTACCTGTCCTTTTGAGAATGCATATGGAAGAGTTTCTAACTTTGAGAATGCACACACAGCAAGGTGGAGATCATTGTAAGCTTTAGCACATATCAATCAAGTTTATGTTGCACAACTCTATGACCACACACTATGTTTTATTCTCCAAATGTTTTCATCGAGATTATGTTGTGCCTTGTGTTCACGTGTAAACAACAAATGAAGGGACTGCTGTCAAAAATGTCCACTCAAAGCTAGCTCCAACATCTCTTCAAACCTAATTACTAAAAGAAACAGAAATTGTCGCTACAAAATTATGTAGAAATGCATAATCTTTATTTTATAATTGGCCTCAGAAAGGGAATAGTTTTCTTGTTATGTCCTCAGAAGATCATTCCTATCTATCTGATTGGCCCTCAGCATGCGTCTGTATGCTGCCTCTGCCTGCCTTTCTCTATGGTGGCCAAAGCGGCAGCCTGCTTTGCTTCGCAGAGGTCTCCCTACTGCTAGTAGTGAACAGGCACACAGAGCAAGCCCAGCCCAGCGTAGAGAGAGAGAGGGAAACGGGAGGAGAAAGACCAGCTTGCTCAACAACTGAGCAGAGCACTGCGCTGCTGCCTGCCCCTCCCCCTCTGCTGCACAGAAACACACAGATGCTTGCCTGCTGCCTCCCTCTCATTCACACATGAGCACGGCCTCGTCCTCCTCTCCCACATGGGGTCTCTCGCTTAATGATCTGCTGATCTGCGCTTACTACAGAGGAGTGTGGCCAGGACAGACGACAGTACTGTCGCACAGGAAGCCTCCAGTGTTTCCCCTCCTCTTGGCATGCCCTCCTCTGTTCCATCTCTACACGGCCTCCCCCACCCCAACAACAACACACAAAGTGGCCCCTCTAAACATGATTTATAGCTTCATTATCAAAGGCCAAAGGTCCAGAGAGAGAGACGGCATACGCCAGAGAGAGACAGAGAGAGAGAGAGAGAGAGAGACAGAGAGAGAGAAGAAAAAGGGCAAATACTAGCAAATGAAGAGTTAAATGCTGGAAAAGTTCCCTAATCCCATGCTTGGTGAACTCTCTCTCACAATGACAGGAGGATCTGACATCGAAGGATCAAAAAGGGACGCCTCTTTATCAATGATCCTAAGGCAACTTCTCTGTTTCAATTGTCAACTGTCCACTGATACAGCGCTGTTGAATGCCTGAACACAGTCAAAAAGATCATGTGGATTTAGCAGGTTGCCTGTCAAATTAGAAGTATCACTCCAACCCCAATCCTCATCCCTCTGATGATAACTGTTAATGCATTATTTTGTTGATTGTCAAGCATAAGGCGGGGAAGAGATTTAAGCATTTTTACAATAATAGTTGGAGCAATGTTTTTTGTTGATACAGTGCGGTTAAACTTCCTCTACTCTACTGTAGACACGGCCTGATTCGTAGCCTGATCTGCTGTGATTTTCTCATTTCTATTGACTATACTGTATGATGGCTGATCTGTCACACACATGCAGTGCCGGCTGCATTATATTTTGTTACGTTGTTGATACTATGAGGTTTATAAAGTAATAAACATTTTTATAACACAAATCATTTGCAAGACTAAAAGAAGTATTGTTACATGTACAATAAATCCTTTCATTTTTCCCATACAAAGTGCTTTGTTCTGCAACTATCATCAACTGTGAAGCCATCAGTCTTCTTCAGGCTATAGTCAAAAACATACACCGTTATTTACATCACTCCTTGCACACCCCTAGTACTTTCTTGGCCAATATGAGCAAAGACAAAACATGGTCGAAATTAATCAAAACTAATAATGAGAATCTGTTGCCTGCAAGCCAACAACAGCTCAAGAAGAGGATCAGGTAGCTCAGCAATTTACCTGCCACACCTGCAGATCTCTTTTTCTTGTTCCAATTTGGTCTCAACAACAGTCTCCTTTTTTTCTTTACTATTATAGCTGTAGAACAACTACATTGGAAAACTGAAACAAGGTAGGAAAAACTGCTGTCCAACCTTGTCATACTGAAGCCATATGAATGTGTTGCGTCATTTGTGCATTAACATACACGTTGTCTCTTTCAAAGTAATAGTGTAACCAGCTAGACTTATTTGAACATAAAAGCCAACACGTCACTTTCCCACGCAGCATGTGTCTCTGATGGCAGCTACACAAGGTAAATATGACGTGTGTCTGTCGTCGTATCTTCCAACCACAGACTAACACATACGCACTACTCACAGCCAGGTTCAAATCTGTGTCTTCCTCTTTCTTCATCTCCTTTCAAACACAACCCCAGCGTCTCAATGTGATGCAAAGGCATTTGTCGTTTCAGAGATTGCTGCACTTGAGAACCCCCTTAAGTCTGCTTCGTCCAGCAGACCCAGGAAGATGAACAAATCAATACATGGTGTGGGGGACATAACCGATGACAAGCCAGCAATAGGGTTAGGCAACAGATACTCCACATTTCATATATTAATCTGGATAAAAAGATAGGATCAAAACGAGACTGTGAAATACTGTCAAAAGGTACATTGCTTAATCAAAACAATTTATAACCACTCATACGGTTTCCTAAAAATAAAAAAGAATAAAAAAAAACACGCACAAAGAAGCAGTCAGAGCTTTCCATAAGCATCCCCAGACCCCACTAACTGGCTACTCCATATCCTATTGGAAAGCCCTGCAACAGGGCTAAACTCACCACATGCTATTGATTTTGTGTAAAAAGTCAGAAAGATGGAGATAACAAGCTTTCCTCCAGAGGAAACTTCAAGTGTTGGCAAATAATGTAACAACGACGAAAGTTTTAAACATATAGTACTGCTATGGACAAATACGGTAAAAATATGGTGGTGAGGCAATACTTTTGTTCTTTAACATCCTACATAAAAAACAGGCTAGTGGGAATATTTAAAAAGCTGGTTTGAAATATTGGAAGGACAAATGCTGAAGGACTAATGTTGCATCTATAAAAATAAGTTTTTTTTAATATTGCTTCAACATTGCTTCATTATTTGTCTGCAAGTGTTGTGAGGAGAGAAAACTGACTGAACACGCCATGAAAATGACACGTATATGTGTGAAGTCCAAGCAGTTTAACTCTATGCTGAAATCCAATTTTGACTAAAACGTAATTCAGGCTGTTTATATCTGCAGGTTAAATTGTGAATTGAAAATCAAAGTGACAATTTGATAAATCTGGACATGTGAACATTTGATATAAACGATGTAAAGTAGTTATTACTTTACGTGCTCAACAGATTACTATGATCTTCTATGCTGAGTAACTTTGAATTTAGAACCTCACCTTATTCATGTTTCCAGCTTGCTGAGCATTCAGCGTGTTGTGTGCACCCAACTGCGGCCCTCCTTGTGTGAGTGTCTCTGCTAGCACACTGCCTCCAACACCCGGTCCAGCACCCACTTGTGGGCCCTGCATGCCCTGGCCCTGGTACTGCATGCCAGGTCTCCCCCGGCCCGCCGGTCCCAGAGCCCCATTCATCACTTGTCCTGCCTGGCCCATGACCCCATGACCCTGCCCACTGTTCATCATGGCCTGGTTGAAGCCCATGCCTGTGCTTCCATTGCCTTGTCCAGCAGCACCTTTCTGGGCCTGGGGAGACTGGTGATTGGTAGAGCCCTGCCCCAGTGGACTTTTACCAAGCACAGCACCTAGCTGGCTTCCCACCATGCCTCCCTGTTGGGGGCCACCTCCTAATATCGAGGAGCTTCCTGGCCGCAGGAGCTCAGACAGCTGCTTGTGTTTGGCGGCTGCATCAGGGACGATGGAGTTGAGACCAGGACCCCCTCCACCTGGACCGCCGTTAGAGGACATTCCCATTCCCAAGTCTCCATTGGGGATGAGCTCATCTGGAAGGTCGTTTTCCAGGTCAAACAGAGACACAAGATCTAAAAAGAAAGAGAAATAAGAATTAGCCATCATCCCCGACTCACCCCCCTTAACCAACAGCTGCTAACCGCCAAGCACAGAGAAACTAAGGTATTTGTTAGAAGGTTTATTCTATTATCATTATGGTCTGATTAATTGATTATCAAAGTAATTCCTTGCAGTACCGACTTGAGCCAACACTTGGCTTAAAGATATAGTACAATTGTTATATGAAATTGCCCTTCTGCACAGTGAGGGACATATTGCAGAGAACATCCAGTGATACATTGACTTTCCTGTTTAAGATTAGGCTACAGGGAGAAAGAACCAACAATCAGTAATAAATGGAACTCGTTGCCTTTATTGTTGATTTCAAATCCCTTTTTCTTGGTCGACTCAAAATTTTAAGGATTCGAGGCAATTAAATTTTTGTCACTTTTTTTATATTGAGTATCAGGTAAGTATACACAATGCGTAGGGTGCTTCGCAGAGTAGTAGACAGGTACAACTTATGTTATAACTGCTTTTCATTTTGTGATCGATTAGTGAGAACTCACTCACAAGCTGACATATTACCATGGTTACCAATCTTGCGTAATTACATAGACAGCTTTTGTGACACGGATGCCCCGCCGTACGGTCATCATGCTGGACGTCAACAGTAGTACGAGATTTCTCCCATTCACAAAAATATACCTTTAACCAGAGACGTGTTCTGACACCTTTCTATCAGAACCAGCATTAACTTTTTCAGCAGTTTGAGCTACAGTAGCTCATCTGTTGGATCGGACCACACGGGCCAGCCTTCGCTCCCCATGTGCATCAATGAGCCT